ATTTTTTTATTTTTATTTTTTATTTTTAATTATTATATTAATATTAAATTTAGGTTAACTTCTATTATAAATCGGGAAAAAATAAAATAATTATTAAATAAAGAATTTAATAATTATTTTACTAATTTTTTATTTTTATTAAAACGAAATTCAGAAAATAATAGAAAATTTTCTTTAGTTTTTGATATTTAAACCTTAATAGATTAAACAGCTTATTTAACCCTTATGATTGTTTTTATTGATTAAGATTTTAAATTTAATTATAAGTTATTAGGTAAGTTTATTTATTTTATTTTTATTTTTTTATTTTTATTTTTTTTATTTTTATTTTTTTTTTATTTTTTTTTTTATTTCTTTTTTATTTTTTTTATTTTTTTTTATTTTTTTTTATTTTTATTTTTTTATTTTTTTTATTCTTTTTATTTTTTTTTATTTTTTTTTATTTTTATTTTTTTTTTATTTTTTTTTTTATTTCTTTTTTATTTTTTTTATTTTTTTTTATTTTTTTTTATTTTTTTTTTTTATTTTTTTTTTTTTTTTTTTTTTTTTTTTTTTTTTTTTTTTCGAGATCTCTTCCATGCAAACCATGACCCGCTTGTCTACATCATCAAGATGTCCAGATCCGTAAACGTTTGCGGCAAGTGGACACGAGACCAAAATAATCTGTACTGTAGACGTTCTAGACGTTCTAGACGTCATGGTCCCCTTGCACTAAATTCATAATGTATGTAATCCCGGTTGACAGTTCATACGGTTACAGCGCAGTCATTGTGGATTCCATTCGTTCGAGTCAAATAGAACCGAAGCCGATACGACGGCATGCCAAAAAGAGGCAACAGGTCGCATGAGCATTTACCTAGTTAAACAAAAAAGACGGAGGCACTGGAGGCTGATCGGGGAAAATGAAAATGAAGGTATCGAAGATGAATGTTACAATAATCTCACAATAATCTCAGACCTGTCACAGAGCGGTGAAGACACACGTGCTTGGTATACGGCTTGTGATTGGCAAAGGACACTAAATGTTAGATAGTTTTAATTCGTCCTAGTTAATCCGTCTATTTCTGCAAGTTTTATACATATAGGTACCTACCTACCTACACTACCTATGTAGGTTAGGTGGTTATGAGGGAAAGACTTATGTAGGTTCCCTAAAGCTAACGGATCCGGCTGTTAGGTATGTAATGATACAGCATCCCGGTAGCTTGTCTGTGTGACCCACCAATTAGGACAACTCCTGCCCCGCTCTAACCAGAATCAGGGTCTTCTTAATCGACCAATCAACTTACATAGATTCTTCAACCTTCTCTCTATTAGTTGCAATAAGCCTCGGATGCTACCTGATCAGTATCATAATTGCTCCTTTTATACTTTCGAAATAACCCTCAGATCGTAAGCTTCGCGAGCTTCTAAACAGTCACCGCATATCAATCATGCATGCAAGCCATCAGATCGCGGTGTAAAAATTCTTTTATAACTACCTAGGTTTAATTGGCAGTAATACAATTGACGGCGGCACAGCAACACAGCATAGCCGATACAATATGATGATGTCGACAGTGGATCAAATATTCGTTAATCAATCCCTTATGCCCTTTGCATTGCATACCTATGGGTGGAGAGAATAGAGTGGGATTTGCTACATAGTGTACTGTATGTATGTACAAGACAAGGATATTGTTACCAGAATCCGCGCAGGGGCCGAGACCGCTACGTATTTCCCGCCCTACTACCATCGCTAAAACTCTAGCGCTAGAAATAAGGCAAGGTGCATCTCGGTTGATAATGAATTGGAAAGATTGGGAGAATTGGGAGCCGCGACCGCGAGACTCTCACGATACAACGCATGTATGTATGTATATTTTACTCTACCACTCCCGTCTACCGCTACTCTAACCGGCTTTTCATCCCTATTCCCCGTCAAAGGACTACATACATAGAAAATAAGGAACTGCTCTAGTGTAAATATGACACCACTTTAACCATTTATAATTTCAAGGGGTTCCCGTTTCTTATCCACTGCTTTCTAAATTCTATCCACCGAGTCTATGATCTATCTATGAACCTCTAATAAACTTTCTACCTGACTTCGCTTCTCTACATGCAATAAACCGAAGGAGAGGGACGATCAATATTTTAACAGCCTGTCCGTGCAGCAGCTGGAAAGCAAACCAATTGGCACCCATCAAGTTCCAAGCATCTAAATAACCAAGCCGTAAGAAACCAAGTATCTACCTAGCTTCGTCTCGGCGTGCATCTCATTGCAAGATTTCGTACATATGTACGTTGGGTTAGGTACTTACGCTACTTACATGTGCGTGTACATAGGTACCTACCAAAAGCAACAAGGCAGGCACATAGCACCAGAACGACTGTATCTACCCGCCGAAACATTGAACATTGATAACGTCATATAATTGCGCATGGAATAATCGACGGTCTAAATCATTGAAAGTTCCGACTTCTCCCCGCCATCTAGATATTCTTATCTACTACCATAGGTACCAGGTACTTACCTATTACCTACAACTATTGCCCCGAACAGTTACCCCGAGCAAACAAGTATCTATCCAACGATTCCAGTCCAATCTTTTCCCCCTTCCTCCTCTTATATACGCAGACGAATAAATTCAATTCGTATTATATAGGCAAGAGGTGGTATTGCGAATCATCCCTTACCGAAAAAACAGCCGTAACGGCTATATAATCGCCGTGGCGCTTTCGAATTGGTAGAGTAACGATGAAATACGGGGAACACTTTGAAGAAGAGTCGGTCCCGAGCTGGAGTCTGCATAATATCGACTACAATTCGCTGAAGCACCAGATCAAGGTGCACACCACTAAAGACCAGGCAACCGCAATTGCTATCCCTGGCCAGCAGGACCATGCCCTGAAGAGATTTGAGGACGCCTTCTATATCGAACTCTGCAACCAGCACAATCGCGTTGGTCTCTTCGTTACGAGCAAAGCCGACGAGATCTCAAGACGACTATGTACGCTTCCGCCGCCACCATCCTAATTGACCGGCCTCATTCAACTAACAGTGCACTCTACAGGTCACCTCTCCGACTCGATACACCAAGTCATAGTACGATGTAACAACGACGGTGGAGTGTCGCCTAAGCGGCAACGACGACTCGCTAAATACGCATTACAAGTTGACGAGTGCGACGACGACATTAAGGCATTGAGCCGATTTGTCAATGCCCAGGTTATCGCGTTCCGCAAGATACTCAAGAAATACAGGGTATGTACTCACATGTAACTTGTCGACGTAAATAGGAGAAAACCTACAGAAAACCTACGCACGGTCATGGCATAATACTAACGGTTGGCGGCCTACGTCTGCGTATACATAGAAATGGACTGGCTCGACAACGTTAAGTAGTCGTTTTAAAGAGAATATCCTCATGTCACCCAAGAGCTTCACGAGGCGCGACTTTCATCCCTTACGACTACATCACCGAGAGTTGCTCGCCACCTTAGATGCCGCCACTCCCGACCTGAACTCCCTCCAGATCGAGCGCCAGAAAGTGAAGTTGCGATTCGAACAACGCGCCGAGAGTCGCCGATCTTCGCAGACACAATCCCCGAAACCTGCATCCATTAATACGCCAGGCGGTTCGTCGATGACGTATTGGAACGAGTACGACCACGGGAGCGAGGCGGGTGATCACGACGAGGAACGGGGATACGCAATCTATATCGACCCGAACGCGAGCGTCGACTTCCCAGGCTTTGTGTATATCAAAATGATTTTCACTGTCCCGGTAGACAAGGTTCGGCACTGGCTGAAAACGCGCACGCCACATCTGTATTCATCCGAGACGCAATCGCTTCTCAGCAGCCCTTCGCCTGATTACTTCAGTACCCGGCATTCAACTGCACATACGACCGATAACGAAGCGACCGAAGACGAGTACGCCTCGTCGCTAAATTCTAGCGTCGGTCGCCAGAAAGGAGCACGCTACGCCGCATTGGCGGCGACAGAAGAACAGAACGACTACCAAGTGACCTTATACCGCGATAAGGTGCTAACTCAAACCGTGGTATTCACTTTCGTTGCTGCTTTTATCCTCTTACTTGTCTCTGGGGTATTGGTAGCAACAGGCCGGCATAAGCTTCGACTCGAAGTCGACGCCGGCGTTACGGTCGGATCCGTAGCAAGTTTGTTCTGCGCCTGCATGGGCTTAGGTGCCATGTTATATCGTCAGTACCCCGTCAGCATTCTGTACAGTATTGCAGTCTGGACCGCGTTCATGGCTGTGTGTGCCCTGAATGGCATGTTGCTTGTATTAGTAGTGGGGAGTAACGGGTTATGAAAGTAACCAATCGCCACCAATTGATTTTGGCCTCGGCTGGGATTTGTCTTACGTTAGGTGTTTTGTGGCGTTCTGTGGGGTGATGTATTAGAGAGGGACGGGTATACCTCGCATACACGAGGTTACATACCATGGTACATATGTGTACTCTCGCCTTACCACTGTGAGGTTTTGGGGAAATAGGGGGGGTATAATAGAGATTGCTATCGGAGGGCTAGGCTCATCCAGAACGTAAGGTCTCGTTTCTTCAACGGGTTCACGTTTTTCCTATCCATATTGCGTTATATGCTTGTTTCGAAGCGGCACGATACCATACATAGATTTCGGGTTCGCGAGCCTGTTCGTAGGTAGCTGTTTGATTTTAGGGAAACGCGATTATGTTGCGGCTCGCTGCCGCTGCCGCTGCCGCTGGTGCAATTTGCATTTGTACATGAGTACCTAGGTTAGGTAGGCATCAATAAAATATTATTACGATATTGTACCGTGTTTATTTTTATTTTGTACGAGTGGACTTGCGTCGCTGGTGTATGCTTACTGTTTTGCGTTTCTTATACATGAAGCACGACTGGGGGTCAACAGCCAGAAGAGGTAGGTCAGTAGAACTGAAGACGGCTTTTATATAACGGGGTATGTCAATATCAATATTCAATTTAGACCGAAATATAGACCAAGTTATTATTTCTTTCGATAATATATCATTCAGAATATATTCTTCTCTAGTAGTCAGTCTCCTACTATCCACATCCCATCCCTTTTTGCTCGCGCATCGATCCTCGCTATCGTACAGTGTAGTTATACCATCCATAGTCCAGACTCCATACCCAACCACACGCAGAGAAGATGAGTAGAGAAATAAACGGCAGGACGAAGGGTGAGAAACAAATGAAAAAAAATCTTTCATGTCCCGCCTTTTTTGCCAAACACCAAAGTAATCCTACCGACTCGGACAAACTAAAGTACCAAAATAGGAGATGGGGATATATATGAAAATCAGAGGAGGTTCGCCTGGTCTTTCTTCTTTCCTCGAAATATCACTATTACCCCCCCAGGCTCCAATAGCAAGTTTTTCCAATCCCATATCCAGACAGATAGACAGACAGACAGACAGACAGATAGAGAGACTTTCCTACGCGGGGGAAGCATAAATACTAAGATAGTTAAACATATATGTTAGGTAGGTAGGTAGGTAGGTACCTAGGTATGTATGTAATAAGACAAGAGCGAACGGTATTTCGAAATATACCACGACGTCCATATCTATATATTCTCGGCACCTACTACAAACAGGGAAGGGGGTAAAAATGGTTCCCGTGCGGCGGGGGGGCGAAATGTCACCTCGGCGTGAAGTCGAAGCACATGGTATGCGGCGGGGGCACCAGCCGCGAGCGCTGGAGGTAGTGGTTCCGGTCGACGTTGAGTTTCTTCTCGAGCTGGCTCATCATTTTTTCTGGGCAGGGCATCAGCGAGGTTAGTTACGTAGTGTCCCCCAGGAAAGAGAAGACATAGGAACGGATAGGCTTACCAGCGATCCCCCAGCGAAAACTAAACAGCTTCAAGCTCTCAAACTTCTCCTCGATGTTGGCCTCGCACTCGGCCCTCTCCTCGGGGAAGATGCGCCGCAGCGCGGCGTACGCCTGGATCACGAGGTAGCAAGTGGCGCCGGCGGGGGCGCACAGGAAGGCGGGCGACCTCGGGGCGGAGCCGAAGTTGGCGTTCAGCTTGCACGATATGTCGGTCGACATCTTGCAGGCGAAGCGCAGGGCCGCCATGGCGGTGGAGATCTCGGCGCTGGAGGCGACGAGGGAGGAGGCGGGCGCGGAGGAGAAGCGCTGCGTGCTTTCTAGGATGGAGAGGTAGGGCATGTAGAGGGTGAAGAGGGCGCTGGGGGTGGTTAGTTAGTAGGGTATTGAGATATATATATATATATATAGTTGGGTGAGTATAAGAGGCATGTATGTAATAGGGGCATACCTAACAAGCATAGCAAAACAATCAAGCATATCCTCCCAATCCAGCGTCTCGCCCAGCAGCGTCAACGTGCTCTCCCTGATCTCCCTATCGAGGTCCGCATACGTCGACACCAGCGGCATCTTGCCCGGCCGAGCGTCGCGCTCCTTGTCTATGCGGAGCGCGCGGTGGAATAGACATGCCGTCTTGGCTGACAGCTGGAAGCCGGCGAACTTCTCGGTGCCGATGAGGATGTTGGTGCTCAGGTGCCGCGGCAGCGACGGCGGCGACATGGGCATCCCGGCTCCGGACCTTGTTCCGGTCTGGCCTCCGGTCGAGTTCGGCGGAGGCGTCGTCGGAGGCGTCTCGGGCAGAAGCGTGTTCCGCGTCGGACTTTCTAGTAGGAACGGGAAGTCCACCGCGTTCTCGTCCTGGTGGATGAACCTAGAGTCTCTCGTAAGTATTGTATCTATACCCACGATCTTCCCCCTTCCCCTATCCTCCTCCTTGACCAAGAAAACAAAATAAAACAAAACAACCCAAAATAAACCACCACTTACTGCTCCAATATAAACATCCCCCACCAAAGCCCCCCGCTCTGCTCCTCCTCCGCCCCCGCCCCCGTCCCCATCATCATGCCGATATCACCTCCCCTCCCCTCCGCCAGCTGCGCCGGCCTGATCCCCAGCACGCGCGCCGTAACGACGGCCTGGCTCAGCGTGCGGTACGCGGTGACCGCGTCGCCGTGCCCGTACTCGTACAGCGCGACCAGCGCGCCGCACTGCACCACCTCGACATCCGGGTGCGGGTCCCCCGCGCACGCCAGCAGCAGCGACGACAGCAGCCGCTTGACCGTCCGGTACGTCTCGTCGAAGATGGGCTGCGGGCCCGCGTCCGTCGTGCGCATCCGCGTGAGCAGGTACATGGCGGCGACGAGGAGCGCGGCGGTCTTGGCGGGCCGGTCTGCGTTGGGATTGGGGTGTTCGGGGGTGGTGGTGGTAGTAGCAGCAGTAGTGTCAGACCCGTCCGTCACCGCGGCGAGGCTCGCGACTTGCTGCTCGAAGAGCGTCGGGTGGATGACCGCGTACCACGAGTGTATGCACAGGAAGTACATGTTGACGACGGCGCGCCAGTCGACTTGTTGCCCGGACCCGGGCCCGGGCGATATCAGCGACAGGATCTGCGCGGCGGTGATCCCCTCCAGGGGCTCCGCGCCGCGCAGCAGAGCGTCGTGCGATAGCGAGTGCGGCTGGTAGATTACTAGCTGCGCGCCTTGCGGGATCACGTTGTTGGATATGTCGTGGATGTAGTGGCATTTAGCGTTGAGCCTGCGAGGGCAGTTAGTTTCTTTCTGTCCGTGTTTTCTGCATAAGCCCCAATATCAAAATGCCATCGTCTTTGCAGCGCCGTTGAGCTAAGAGATATTTTACAAATTCGACGGGAAGATTGTCGCATTAGATGGACAAAAGAAAAAGAAAAAGTCAAGACTCTAATAGCTAGTAGGAGTAGTAATGATATATGATGTATACGGCCTTACCTCTTACACCTATCGCAGAAAGGCAGCTTCTTATCACATTTGCGTTTAGACGCACGGCACTTCTCGCACGCGCGGGCGGCCAGGCCCCCTAGGGCCGACGCTTCTATCGTGCCGTACGCGGGCGAGCCCTGGAAGCACTGTCGCTTGGGGGAGGGTCCGGGAGACGATTCCGGCGTCGTCTCGGACATGGGCGAGAGCCCGTTCGGAACCTGTGTCGTCTGCATGTCGGCGGACGTATGGTGCGCTGGCCTTCAGGCACCTTGCGCATTTGGGATGTATACCTATTTCTAGGGAGTACCCTGGCCTAGTAGGGGCCCCGGTATGTGTGTGTGTGTGTGTGTGTGTGTGTGTGTGTGTGGGAGAGAGAGCAGAGTCTCTAACTGTCTAGCTGCTGCTGCTGCTGCTGCTTGCCACTGCTACACCAAGGATCGGGGTTGTTGTGCATTCCCCCCCCTTCCTCGGGTGGTTGCTGATGTCGCTTGACTAATGCGTCGGACGACCTAAGGCGGACCGGCTGTAGAAGATGGGTGTATAGGTGTATAAGGCGTGTGTCTCGGACAGTTGCAGCCTTACAAAACCAATGATGTAATATGTCGATATAGCCCTGACTATCTGCTCAAGGCACCGAGTTGGGTTTCCGCGGAGAATAAGATTTCTAGCCGTCGAAGGAAAGGAAAAAACAAAGCTGACTTACTTGCCTCTCCTCGGTGATTATCCAGGGTAATAATATTATAAGCCAGTGGACTCGTCGCCGTTTTTGCCTGTGTTTGGTTGTAAAAGTCGGCTGTTGATTCGCCCCTTTGGAACTAACCGGATGATCGACAGGTCGAGCTGAAAAGAATGAAAGCAGCGGGCAGGGATTGGCCAAGGAGAAGCTTTCGGTAGTAAAAAGTACCTACGTATATACAATAATACAATAATACAAGGGGGAGGGAGAATATCGAATAAGAAAAATCAAAGAGTAGTTAGTGTAGGTTAGTTATGTATGTATAATAGAGAATGTGATGTGATGTGATGTGATGTGATGTGTAAAGTAATGAAAGTAATGCAATCCCAACTCTGTTTCTGTTTCTGTTTCTGTTTCTGTTTCTGTTTCTGTTTCTGTCTCTGCTAGCTAGTTAATATTTCTTCTCTCTTACCCATCCAGCCATCCCAGTCAGTTAAGTTCCAGTCCCGAATCTTATGTCCGAAGAAGACTCAATAATAATAGAACGACAATTCGCGCTAAGACTTGACGATTCAGTCTTCCCACTGATCTACCCTTCTCCAGCTTCGAAGGCCCAAGTACCGAGGCTTACAAACCCCCCTTCCCCACAGACCTTCTAGGGAAGGATGGAATTGTTCTGTAATAGTCATAAGTTGCGATATTGCCTTGTTACAGCGAGCTAACTATGAATAGCTTAGGTAGCTTATGTAGACGGTAATAATAACAATAATGAATATCTACTTAATAACTATATACCATATAGTGTATGGATATACGTATGTATAAGCTGATTGATTACGTATATCTTAAAGCTTGGCCTTTCAACGTTGTTACTGTTACATTTGAAAGTTATTTATTTACCGTGAGCCTCAGCTTTAATACGTATCGTACCATACATCTACACGAGCTTATAAATTCTCTCACTATCTACTCGCAATGGACTACATAGGTACGTATATTGATTCTCACAGCTTACCAATAGGAAAAGAAGACGGGAATGATAATGCGAGGCTGGAGAAGAAAAAAAAAAGATGAGGAAAGAAAAAAAAAAAAGATAGCGAATGATCATGTGGCGACATCACAAAGCCGTCAAGGGGGGTAAAAGGTCCGATACAAACTAGGAGCTGTCATAGGCGCGATCAGAATTTGCCATTGGCCGCTGAGCCAATATACATACACACTTTGAAGTAAGACCATCTTCTCTAATCCGATTTGTTCGTTTGGGAATGTTCGCGTCAAAAGGCGGTCGGGAATAACTTGTAATGTTCTTGTCTCGTCTCGTCTCGTCTTGTCTTGTCTTGTCTTGTCTTGTCTTGTCTTGTCTTGTCTTGTCTTGTCTTGTCTTGTCTTGTCTTGTCTTCGCCGCGAAAATTAAAAAGGGATCCAAGCAGCCAAGGTGTGATGGGATGGATTAGGTATCGCGTTTTCGTTACGGAAGTCGCCTTCAAAAGTTTTGTCCATAGGCCAGCCCCTGTCAGCTTGACAAGGCTTGGCAGCAACTGGCAGCCATAATAATGAATGTACCTCCAAATATATTGTACTTTAATCTACTCATTATACTTCGAATATAAAAGCTAATTTATTAAAATATATACTATAATATAATGAAGTTATTATATTTATTAAATATTTAAAGAAATTATTTTTTAAATATTTTTAGTCGTGTGGTAATATGTATAATAGAAGGTATATTTTAGTATAGGTACTTTACGATTTTAGACTGCCAGGTGGGGCAGGCTGCCCGACAGCTGCGGCCAAAGCTGACAGGCGCTCTGTATGGACAGAACTTTTGAAGGCGACTTCCGTACAATTCTCAAGGATATAAAATGCTAATTTGGTACAAGCCCCACCACTCAATAACGTTGCTTAGCCTCCTTAATACATAAACAATTACCTTTTTTCCCTGAAGATGTAACCTAGGTAGTTAGTTAAATACCTAAGAATATTCGCGTTATACTTTAATGCCTCTTAAAATACCAAATTGCTATTAACCAAAAGACTGTGAAAGATCTCTTAAAGGCCTAAACCAATTGACATTTAGAAGCTTTATATGGGTTCTGGCCAGTGACCAGTTGAGGTTTCTCGAATTTTAACTCGTGGGGCTTGTATTAGGCACACTATGTATGTAGTGTAAAACTAATATCTCATAGGTATCCTTGTCCTAACGCTACGCTAGAAAGGTCCCACTCTGACGGGTCCCGGCCCCAACAGATTCCCATGTGCTAGTGGAGACGGGTAACCGTTGCTTCGCCTAGTCTCATCGGCGTTAAGAAAATACCAAGCTGAGGCTGATGATTATTTATACATATTGATTACGCTTAAACTCTACGTGGTTAAATACCTCGTTATCTGTGTACGCTAGAACTTTCTACTAGCGTAGAATTCATAGCATAGTATAGCTTAATAATATAACTAGGTAACTACCTAAATATTATAACTACCTCATGAGCAAGTTTCCATTCATTGCTCTATCCCACTAATAAGTCCCAAAAACACAACAAGGTAGCACCTTGCATGCAGAAATCCAGGCCGTAAACATGCAACTCCAAGAACCCTTTGAATACCCATATAATCTAGCTATGTACCCACCTATTTGCCTTTGCCACCGTAATAGTTACTGAAGTGCCCTCCCAATAAGTACATAAAGTTCCAACCAACCATCCCACCCATCCGAGTGTGTATAAGCTCTCGCAGGCATGCCACCATTCAACCGACCAGGTTCAACCCGGCTTCAGTCCTCTCCCACAAGTAGGTATGCAGTTGTAATCACCATAAGCCATAAGACGTTCAGCTACAATTCCCTCATACCCACCTCATATACCATGCCCAATATTATCCCTTTCCCCTTCCCTCTACTCCTTAGATCGTCAACGTCCCGTTCAGCGGCAAATCTCTGCTGCTCCCACCGACGAATATCCCGTACTCGCCCGGCTGTAGATGCCACTTCTGCGCAACCACGTCCCAGACACTGAGGTCGCGCCTCGTGAGCAGGAATGTAGTCGTAGCCTCTCCTGTCGCGTTGAGGAACGCCTTTTCGAAGCCACGTAGCTGACGCACCGGCGCGTTCGGGATCCCAACGTACAGCTGAGCGACCTCGCCGCCGTATACATCGCCTACATTCTTTATGTCCGCACTGATTGATGCTACCACATCCCAAAGATCTACCTGCCCGCCCTCGCGGATGGCCCCTGTCGGATATTCATCCGTGTTGGTATCGTCCCGCTTTTCGATCTTTAAATTCGAATAATTGAACGTTGTGTAGCTTAGTCCGAAACCAAACTCGTATCGTGGTGTGATATTCTTTAGATCGAAGTGACGGTAGTCGATATACACACCTTCGCTAAAATTTGACTGAGGGAAACGTTCGAACTGACCCAGGGGTAAGTCTGGCTTCGCAACATGTTCATAGTCGGACTCGTTCTTGGCTACCGTGTACGGTAGCTTGCCCGATGGGTTTGACTCTCCATACAACAAGGAGACAAGAGCACGACCAGACGCCTCGCCAGGTAGGTGCGCGAATATCAAAGCCGTCACGTTCGGGTGGTCGATCCACTGATCCACCAACCGGACGCCGGCATTATGAAAGATGACGATCGTATTATTGCACCGATCCGCCACATGTCGAATCAAGCCGTCAGTATAATCATCCCGTAAGTTCGGACGATCGTAGCCTTCGCTTGCGAACGCATTGACAATAACGAGACATGCATCCGACGTGCTAGCAACATCCGGATCAGGACTAAAGAAGTCCCAAAATACAGCCGTCCGGTCATCCCACGCTCGAGCGTTGAGAGCGTCGTACGGCGAGCTAACGAAAGCTGGCGTTACGGCACCGGAACCACCACCACAGAACAGCGTCCCATTAGGAGCAATGTCTGAAAAATCTTCATAGTAATGACCCGAGAAACCGGCACTGGTGTCGCGCCCAAGATAGGATGATTCGCCTCCGAAAGTCCACGCGGCAACGCCGCCGTTAGATTTGTAGTTCCACTGATCGGGACTCTTTGCCGAGTAACCGAATATCGAGAGCATTCTCGGTTTCCTTAGTGGAAGCGCGTTCTTGATATTCTTGACTAAAACGTGGCCTTCAATAGCACCGTCCAATAGAACTTTCTGAGACGAGATGTTTCTCGCGTCGATGATATCGTGCGGCTGGGTTAGGTCTACGGGCATACCGATTCCCGGCTCTGGAAAGTCCTTGTCCTGTCCTACTTGATAGTATCCAGCCATGATTCGCGTTGCCATGTCATCTAAGCGATCCTCAGAAACCGATCCATTTCTAACTGCCTCTGTTAGCTTGTCTCCCCAGAGCTTCGAATTTGGCATGACCATGTCCATTCCAGAGTTGGCCGATGCAACACCAGCATGAAGAGCATCCCAGTCCGAAGTAATCGCTCCCTGAAACCCCAGCTCCGTTTTGAGGAGGCCATTTTGGGTTTTGCTGTTCCCGCAAGCGTAGGAGTTATTCACTCGGTTGTACGAGCACATTACGTTTGCAGTCCCGGCCTTGACAGCATCTTGGAACGGCCTGTAACTAAGTTAACTAGTGTGTCATAGGAGAAGATTTTGGTTTATTAAAGTACCATAAATACAGCTCGTGTATGGTCTTATCATCGATGTTAGATGAGACGGATGCAGTGTCACCAGTAGGCTGTCGGTTCGTCTCTTGTTCGTTGCCGATGAAATGCTGCGCACCGAATAAGTGGAAGTCCTCTGGTAGTCAAGGCTGCTCATACCTTGGTACTTGTGATGACACCCTGCGACTGAATTCCCGTTACTGTTTCTGATACAAGGCTGCCGGTGAGATAGGGATCGGGAGAAAAGCCTTCCCAATTGCGCCCGCCGCGTAGTATACGTCCGATAGGACCAACTACAGGTCCGAGATGGATGTTGACGCCCTTGACTCTAAACTCAAGGCCCATGCTCTCTGCACGGTCCCGAGCCAGACCCTTGTTCCAACTGGCAGCAACATGGAGACCGCTCGGAAACCCACTGACAAAGTCCGTAGCTCTGACACCCTGGCCGGCATCGTTCAGACAGAAGCCCGAGAAGTTCATACGGGGAATAGCGTCAATATTGCCAGAGCAGCCGTTCAGTGTTCCTGAGCTGCCCGTAGAAGAGGAGAGTCCCGATGCAAGGGTTACCTAGCATCGAATTAGCTATGCGCTGCTAGACTTAGTAGGCAACGAAATACCTTCTCTTCGATCGTAAGCTGCCCAACAAAGTCGAGAGCTTTTTTGTAAGCATCGGCCCAAGCGCCAACTCCCGTCATCGCGGCTAGTAGTCATATTAGATACTCCATCTAGCGTATAGTGGACTAGAATTTTGTTATGAGTATACTCACGAGAGGGGTATACCGGCTCGGACTGGCCGTAGAAATAAGTATCATCGGTGATAAGAGCTTGGCCGCTAGGCGCGCCAGCAGCTCCGTCACCACTATCGCCATGTCTATTTCGCAGGGCGAGAAGTCCTAAGAGACCGAACAAAGGCAATATCATGAGACCAACAACGAGGGCAACACCGCGCTTCTTCTGCAGTATAGGAAACCGCTGCTGCATTCTAGCCCACCACGAGGTCTGGTCTAGAGGCACTTCCTGGCCCTGCGACAGCGGTTGGCGTTCCTGCTTCATTTCTGCCATCGTATACTCGGCTAATTATCTGTCATCTGGTGAGGGTGTATCAAAAATAACTAATTCGAGAGCCGTACAAGGTATGACTCGTCATATACGCTCCTTTTTCAGGAAGATTGGCCAAATCTAGACAACCTTGCGAATACCTATTATTCGTAAAGGCGAGAAAGACTAAACCTTCAAAGGACCTTTACCCTCGATATATAACCCAGACTCAAGGCGGGTGGCCTTATGTCGGAGTTCTTCCAACTCCAATATCGGATGTCTCTGTTGCGATCCGAGCTTGGAACGAGAACAACAACAAAACTGGTACAATGAGCTCTAACGAACAGGCGAATGCGACGATCAATTTAAAAAAAAAACGGGGTATTTTTATTAAATGTTATCAATTCCGTAGTCAGAGGTGCATCCGAGTAACAAGCGAATGTGTAGTTGAGTAGGTTTTTCAAACTGTTAAGGTTGCACGCGCTCTCTCTTCGGCCACAAGTTGGGTTATACTCGGTTTACTATGGTTATCTAACGATCGTCGTTGAACAACAGGCTGATGTCAATATACATGTATACATAACCCGTTTGGTTGTTGTTTCCTCGTTTCCTCGTTGCCTCGTTGCCGGGTTGATCATTATTTGGAGATGTTTGTGGCTTCCCTGATTGGTCAATCGTCGTTGGTTAGTTAATTACGCCCCAAGACATACGAGTTCGTTGGGCAGGTACCCTCGTTCGTCGCTTAATAATGCTTAACGCTTAATGGCTTCCACGGCTCGACCCTGACTAACTCATTTCGGCACTGGGAATTGCGCTTTCCCCACGTGTCATAACCTTGGCCAAGCTGCCAGGTGCCTCATGCCGCGTGAATGAATTCCACACATGGAAGCCTGCCTTAAGCTGCATGTTGATCTGCATTCGATCGTTGCAAGCATATATCAACGTTTAAAAATATTCATAAATTTCTTATAACTAGGGATGCAAAGCAACAAGTAAAAGAGTAACTAACTACCTAATGATCATCTTCGGCATGTTGAAATAAAAGCTTCATTTACAAGCGGACATGCCATACATGTATAATTATATTTCACGTGTAAGTGCTACTAGAGGTACATACTCTGTCATTGCATTCCAACCATTGAAGTTTACGGAACCTCTAAATAAGGTTCGCCGCCGCGAACCATGATCGTGAAACAGGTTTGTGTGCCACTAAAAATGACGATATGCACGATTCCGTAACCTTCGGGTACCTAGGTAAGGTACGCATATTTCTACATTCAGCCCAGGCCTTATCTTTCCTACACATTTCCTATAAAGAACTTCTCGAGCCCCCATTGAGACCATTTCACATATTTTAACACGAACTTCGATTTGCGCTCCCGCTCCCGCTCCCGCTCCGGCTTTGGCTAATGCTTAATATTTTGATCAACTATTTGATCCGCCTAGATCTAACTGTATATACTTGTAATGGCTATCATGCCAAAGTTCTTCCCGTTCGCTAATAAGTCTGCAAAAGCAATCCCCAACTCGAAAAAAAAAAACAGCAGCGTGGTATCCAGTGTCATAAAGGAATCGTATCAATCAGGGAGAGTTTGTAATCGTCCAATGCAGATATAACGCCAACCCAAGAGAACGCCCAGTGGGCTGCTATTCGTATCAATTCCGCCCGTCGGTACCCCTGGGGAATGTCTATTCGCAACGTCGCAATCTACATTCTTAACGAATAGAGGAACCGTGTCATCCGAATACACAAACGTCCTCTTGGCCAGCCAATAATTGAAGTAAATCTCGGTCTATGGTAGCGGGCCGTGGGCCGCAACGCGTTCGCAATGGCAATGGCATTTCACTGCGAAGACCGGGCCGCATCGTGACATCGTAAGTAGTAATCGTACGGCTATGTAAACAAGCGCGGAATAGGTGCTATATACTTCGGAAAGTTCAGTCGGACTGCTACCCCATGCGTCGCAATACGATACAGCGAAATCGCTAGCCAACCCAGTGACCACTGGGAACTTGTGGTATGGCCAGCTTCGGTTTCGCGAAGAAAGGTTCGGGTATACAGAAGCAGGCGACTCACAGTATCAACTGCTTCAGATTGCGCTGGATGATCATGTCCTGCACTGAGCCCATTGTGATTTTAAGCAAGTTTGTATCCGTCGCGTTGGTAAAATGACCATAAATTTCCTTCTCGGGGTTCCGGTTTAGAGCCCTGAACTTATCCATGAAGTACTTGCTCGCTTGCTTGTAATCGTCCGCCGGACCTTGGTAGTCGACAAAGCCATGTGCCGTTATAGGACTCGACGCGATCTTCTCCTTAAAGAGATCCATCTTATTAAGGAAGAGGATAAGGGCCGACTTGGTGAACCAATGCGAGTTTGCAATGGATTCCCAAAGCATCAAGGCTTCGTTCATTTGGTTCTAAAATCGCATCTGTTAGCAGGCTTATTACAATGGCAATTGAAGTCTTAAGTCTTAAGGGATGGCTTGTACTTACGCCATCCTTATCCTCAACCAGACACTGATCGTAACCGCTGATCGCGACCAGGAATAGTAGAACATTGACATTCTCGAAACAATGAATCCACTTCTTCCGCTCCGATCTTTGACCGCCCACGTCGAACATTCGGTATGTCAGCTGGCCCAAATCGAAGATGGTCTCGGTAATGCCTGTCGTCCTCAAACGTGATCGCAGCAGATCTTGGTCGGTGGGAATATATTCAGCAGCCCAGAGGCGGTCTGCATCTTCGCAGAAGCTTTTAAGACGTGTTAGCCAAGGTCATGTTAACGGTGTCAACGGACGCACTATGATAGATTGTCGTGGAGAGCATATTCGTTGCCCTTTTGGATGGCCTTTTGTACTCCATTGTCGGCCCAAAGGGCTTTGACCGGCTCGAGGTATTCCTGGGGAAGTGAATCGTGAGGCGAAATTTCAACGTCAACAAGGAGCAATGCTTGGTTTTTCTGGCAATAACAACACGACATTAGCAATCGACGTTTACAATGACATCCCATTGCGACAGCCTCGTCTCACAAGATCCCGGTGAAATACTATTGCGCATTCGAGATAAGTATATGTATCACATACCTCGTTGTCTTTGTTTTCAAATTCGATGGAATAGTCGGCCATGGCATCAAATATTATGCGCATCGACTGGATAACATTGCTGAACACGACGGGCTTCCATTCCAACTTCTCCGTTTTGCTGAAGCCTTGAGCGTAAATCAACTTCATCTGCTTGAGCACAGTTGACTTTCCCGACTCGCCGGCACCTATTAAAAAGTCCCGAAGTCAGCTGCGGTGTCCCGCTAGCCGAGACACGAATGCTGGCGATTTCTGAGGAGAGACACTAGGTACGTACCTAAAAGAAGCAACTTGACTTCTCGTGCCATGCGCTTCTCATCTTGTCGGATAATCTTGTCGAGCTCCCGTGACCGAGTATTGCCCTCCTCGTCCTTTTTGCGACTGCCGAAACACATTATGAATAAGGCTTACGCGCGGGTGTGTATGTGTGTGTGTGTCGAGTATTATCTGATCCTAGGAATACGTGGTGGGTAGTCGCGTATTCATGCGAAAAGGCGAAAGGAGAACGGAGAACGGATTCTTGCGTAATATACAAGAGCCTCACAGCGACTATGAACATACACAGCCCTGTGAGAAGATGGAAATGGAAAAAAGAGAAAAATTGGATGACGACTACAGAAACACAGCTTCGTGATGGTGTGGTAAGACTAGCTCGGGGCTTGAATGAAACGGCTCAGTGATAGCCTGTGGGGGCTTGAGCTGACGGCGCAAATCCAGCTCGCAGTCGGTTACGATCTAGAAGTAAATCCGGCGGGAATATCGAAACGTTATTACGACCTAGGAGCTTTTTTCGCGCCTTTAACGCTCTCCCTACAGCTCAATGGGAAGATGGAACAAAGAAAAATTGGATAGCGAGTTGGGCAGGCTATGTAGATAGTTTTTGTTACTTCGAGTCTCCGGGGATGATCAGACCAAGAAAAGGTAATCCTTGTCGAGTAGCCAGGGTACGGAGGGAGGCTCGAGCGAACTGGAGAAAGAAGGGGGAAGAAAGAGACGGGAAAGCTTCCAATAATAAAAAGTATCGACGGGTAGGACCTGAGTGATAAATAATACAGCCTGTCAGCAAGATATGTCAGTATTCTATTTTTTTATTCTTCTTACTACAGCATCCGCCCTTGTTCTCCTGTCCAGGCGGGCTACATGTATGTTTGTATGTATGTTGTACTTGTTGACCAGGACCAATAAGCGGAAAAGGAGGGGGGTAAGAAACCAGAAATTGGCGAAGAGAGATAGGAGTCATATGTAGGTATGTACATAGAGCGGTACCGTATTGTATCGATTTATAGGTATAGACCTTGTATGTAGGTAGGTAAATATTCCATCCACGTACCTTTTAAATTCTCAAGGGTTTAGATTCGCACGAGCGTTGAAGAAGGTAGATCTCGACCAATATAGTTCAAAAATATCAATGGATTTCTTATATCATACTCGGGGTCTTAACTCTGATTAAATATCTTAATTCTGCGGGTATATCAATGAGAAAGAAGAATGACAGGAATACCATCCAATAGGATATGGGATGACGGCTCGCGTAGGTGATGATGGAAGCTTAAAAAAAGGCTTGGGGAAGCGATTTGCTACTAGTAATGATGGCCGCTGTTTAGCGTCGAACTTCAATTGTTCAAATGATGCTAGCAGCAAGATAGGTACCTTTGCCGGTTTGCTGGGCAGTTTCGAATAGGAGTGTACCTTGCAGAGTGGAGTTGAAAAGTACTCGAAACGCAAGTTGGGGCTAATTCAAGGTCCTCTTTCCAGGGATAGGCTGATTAAATTTGTATGTAGTGAGCAATAAGCTATCCACAGTGGAATCTCCTCCAAGAAGATACGACGTACGCAAAGTACCTGCCTGCGTACATTAGGTACCTATCTCCTGTACAACCGATATGGGTACCTATATACATGTACAAGCAAGCCTGACCTTAATCCGTACGCAACCACGCGATTACCTAACATAACCCTGTTTTACTACACCAATGACCTACATGTATAGTCCATAGGTATGTATAGTCCATTAGTATGTACCTATATACCTAACCTAGGTAGGTACCGTACATACCTATTAATGTATTTACACACTTAAAGCCAAGTCTCGTCAATAGGTAACGCACAGCTGAAAATTGCAACCTTCTTCTTACTGATATATTCGTATACCTGGGTTTGTGACCATAAAGTCACAAAAAAGTGTACTAACGGTGATAAACAGTGATAAGACATCAATGGAGTCGGGACGAATAGGTATCACGGCTGGTTAGACCGCTAGACATAATATCCATCTAATCAAGTTAGTAGCGTCCGAATCGTAACTTAGGTACATTCTAGCTTCAATCTTAAAGCCGATCAGCCGAGCCGACTAACTATCAATGCTATGAACTAATGCTTTTACAGTTTCTCTATCTTCCCCATCTCCATCTCCATCTCCATCTCCATATCCATATCCAAACAGAGACAAGCAGCATGTTCGGCATGAAAAAGCATTTCAAGGCTAAGAGGTAATAGTATACTGGTCTACGATATAGCGGGACTATTACACATGCGTACAGACGTACATAGGTTCCATAGATCTTCCTCTCAAACTCCGCAACGAACACGCCATAACTCGGATGCAAGGATCAAGGGATACACAATGTAGGGAGAACAGAGAGAACAGGTGCCGCACGTAGGGTTCGCAACCCGAGACGCTACTATTTCTATTATAGCGGTACTACAGGCTACAGCAAGCACCAACGCAGCCAAGAACAATGTTATTCTCTGGTTGGTTGATTCACATGCATGCAACGCGTGCGAGTACTTATATTAGCACAGATTACTGATTACGGATTACGGTAGCATCACCACTAGGTTACATACTCTCGTCGATTCCATACAATTAGACATCAGCCAGTGGCTATGTATACTGATGTATGCGATGTATGCGATATATGCGATATATGCGCTGCCTGCGATGGGTATCATCAATCTCGATTGGTGTGAGTGCCACTTCCCAATGCCATGTGCCGTCAGCCTCTCAAGGTCACTCGCCTGATAGCAGGACCGTCGTCCATCACTACCCTACAACCTTAAGTATGCTGCTGTCACGTTGGCCGCACTGATAATACAGGATACAGGATACAGGATACAGGATGCCAGCTTGCCAGCTTGCCAGTTCGCCAGTTCGCCAGTTCGCCAGTTCGCCTGATTCCGGAGACATTGCCACCCACCTGAAGAACATCTGAGGAAGACGCAAACCTAATGTCAGTATGATACTCATAACATAATACCGTTCTTAGTAGATCTGTATGCTGATGGCTGATTCATTCAACTACATACGTACGTACGTAATACATAAAAACATAGTATCCATTTACACGAGGCGGCGAGTCATCAACGTTCCGTTAGGGGAAACTGATCAATACATAATTACCGGGCGTAGCATGGGCCTCGGTACATACGTATTTATGAGCGAATGGCGGTTTTCCGTATCTCCCACGCTCCCATGCTCTCTCCCATGCCTCTTCCATGCTTACAATTTATCTGCAGCACTGATGCCCACCAATCGGCATCAACCCCCCTTCTCATTCGATTTGAGGTATCCAATGCTTAACTGTTAGCTGTTAATCCGGACTGGGGCTTATTCGGACAACCTAAGAGCATTTAAGTTACATACATGCAACTAGTATGTCAACACCCGCATGTCATCTGGAGAGAAACAAGAGAGAAAAACGTGGCGAGAAGTGGAGCACCCACAAGCATCTTACAAGCAGCGTCCATTCCAACAATCTGATGAGGAATAGCTCCATAGACCTGTGTCACCCTTTTAATCTAGGACGTGCTGGATATGTTAGACATGGAACCGATGTCTTTAAAAGCCCACAAGCCTTCCTTCCGCGCGATGCGGGTGGGAAATTTTTTGAAAGATCGACACATCCTAACCATAAGACCGTAAGCTTAGCTTCCGTGCTACGACAATGCATAGATTTCGACATTCCAACTAGTAAATAACATCATGAGCCATCAATCAGCTTTAAAATTACCATACTCTACGTCCTATCAGCCAGATCTACGAAGCTTATAAAGTATACATAAAATACCTAGCAGGTTCTTTTGAAGGATTTTACCAGAAGGATCTAATATACTACCTACCTAGGTACATATACGCATGCGGCAGCGAGGCTCGGTGGATCTCCTAGTTACTATCGTTGGCCAACCATATGAACAAAATTTACGGTTCCTATATTGAGCTTCTCTATCGTGGGGTGTATATTTCGAGATGCTCTAATGGGAGCCTGACGGAAAAGGAATTTATACCAAGTCAAATCCGTCACCAGAGAATGTGACCCCGCGTCTTCGAGCCAGCCATCTACATCCTAATAAGGAAATATCAAGATACTACATACAACTTAATACATTTGACGCCCTGCAGCCTAGCATAACTGGCCCTGAGCTACCACTACTGGAATCTGGAATTAACGGTGAACATTTCCACGGCCTTCTGGTAAGCTGAAAGGTTTCATGATTGTCTTACATGACTATCTACAACCTACAACGTATTGTATTAGCTACGGTGGTCTCACGGCTGTCTCTCTTGGTACCATCATCTCACCGAAGATGATAAAAACCAAAGAGATATCCAAGCCACACCCCCCAAAGTCGACGAATGAGGAGACATTGCCATCTCACCCCGAAAACAACCCACCGCCACTACGACGATAACCTACTCACGAAGGATTCAAGCCTTGCTCTCCTCCACCACCGTATGTATGTATACCAGGAGTACCTATCGTGCCTATTATTGGCCGAGGACGCCGCGCGAAGTTACCGTAGTGGCCCCCAGGATATCGAGTAGTGCCACACTCCCGCATACCAACCATCGTCTCCAAATGCGACCATACTTATAGTTGAGATAGCACAGGTCAGAAGAGTCCAGGATCATCTAATGGTCTTTTTCGGCCCGTCCAGGTCTCCTCATGGCCAGGGTTGATCCTGTAGGAGACCCAGAGTAACGAAGCTGTTAGGCTAGAAATATCAGATATACGATGGCATCAGATTTGCAAATGCATCTCGCGGAAAATGTAACTTGACAAAATAGAGTTGCGCCATCTCCCGCACGTCTGTGCGTGGAATCTCCATGGGATCTCGAGCAGGCTGCGAGCAAGCGGATCCAAAAAGCCCAGCCCGGGAGTTGACGGGGCCAGGTCTATCCAACGGACCCCAACGACATAACGGCATAATGGCATACCCAGTCGATCGCTTGCTTTAACTACCTTCCGCTATAGTAGGTATTGTACGAGGAACGAAAGGTAGAGAAATGTCATTGTCATGTAAAACATGCTAGCCCTAGCGGTGGCCAACTAATATGCAGCGTCTGTCTCGTCTTTAAACCACCGTCTACTGCGCCGTCTATTGTGCAGCCAGCCTAAGATGTCGTATGCAAGCTTACGGACCCTCCACGCGATAGCCAAGACTATTGTGTAGGAGAGGATTCTCCCCCAGAGGACGCTAATGATACGGCACGGCACGGCACGGCACTGGTACTGGCACTGGTGTTGAGTAGAATACCGACCTTGGGTACTTACCGCCGCTGCTACTACTACTACTACTAAGCACTTAGTCGCACGCTCATATGCAAATATTAGGTACCTAGTTGACGCATCGTTGACACATCGGTGCACTACATACGGGCAAAATCAGTGGTCTTATATTCTATCGCCCGACCCACACGCCACGAGGGAGCCCGGTGGGGTTCGCGACGGGATATTATGTATAAGACGCCTTGCCCCAAGGCAAAATAAAGTAGATGAGAGGTACCTAGGTAGGTATGTAGGTACCTACTTACTTGTATATGATGATGATGGTGATGATGTAGGTGCTGCATCGCCATGTATAGGCGGCTAAGCGCCCTCCTGCCGTGCAACACAGTAACAGGATCGACGGCAATACGACTTACCTGCCCGCTTGCTCGCCTAGCAGCTACCCAGCTACCTACCTAGCTAAGCTTCCATACATACCTACCTGCATACCGACGTCCCGGGCTGTTTAGTGCTTGTTCTGCTTAGTACGCATCGTCCAGGGCTTCATAGACGGTGCTATAATGTAGGTACCTAGGTACCTACCTTATATATATCTAGGTTAGGTTAGGTATGCACCAACGTGCGCCGACATAGATCCTAGGCGTGTATATGCGATCTTATCTATCGCATATGATAAATGCTTAACCTAGATACATAGGTAGGTAGATATATAGATGGGTGGGTATGTACATATAGGTGAGTATCGACGGTACGGCACTAAGCCACGATCACGGGTATTAACAGGCGGATTAAGCGCCGGGGAAAGGGCAGGGGTCGTGCGTAGGTGCGTAGGTGGGATATATATATATACGTAATAAATATAGATTGCAATAGCTTGGTAAATTACAATACAACTACCTTTCTCGCTATGTATTCAAGCCTTGCGTACGTCCCATCGCGGTGCGTGGTGTCATGATGTCGTGGTGTTGTGATGTAGTATGTTCGATTCCGTTCTGTGGCATTATGTGTTCTGTTGTATCACCGCCTCCCACGTTGAAGTCAAGGGACGTGCTGTGCTGTGTGGCCCAGGCTGCCTCGGCTGAGAGCTAGCTTGCTAACGTACAATGCGGGCGTACGTATGTAGGTACCTAGGGAGGTAGATAGGTAGGTAGGTATATATACAGTAGCTACATACCGACCGATCGTCCCTATGTATGTAGGTTGTGTAGTGCAGGTATATATCGTGCTACTATTAAGTGCGTTCTAGACTTCGTCTGGTCACCTACATATCTATCTAGGTTAGGTATGTAGTAGCAGTAATACGCCCGTGCCTGGAATAAGGGATGTATGTTATCAGGGGAGATTGCCGTGCTGCCCTTGCAGCGTGCTATGTTTGGAGCCGTAATTTGGTTATTTTTACACAGACAGATAGATAGGTAGATAGTATAGTTATATTACTTTCATACCTGTTTGTGTTTCGTTGCGGGATAGGTTAGGTAGGGATGAGATATGTCGGTAATATTGCCAGAACAAGATCGATGCTTGGGTTCTCAACTCACTGAGAACTCAGCTTAAATACCGAAGTACAGCGGTTATCGCACCCCCGTGAAACATTTTATGAGGGGTTTAAAGCAACATAATAATTTGATTTAGATTTCGCCCTTTGTACGTTTTCGCCAAGGAGCGAATGGGAGGTATAAAATCAAAAATAGGCTATGCTGAGAACAAATCTTCGGCGAGCATTCGTAAAAGTCAGCATCAGTTGGTCATAAGCCAGTCTATTCGTTATCAACGGCTACATATGAGCTCCCTTTAAGACCCAAACGTATGACTCGTGAGGCATTGAATCATCTCACGACCTTCATCGCCCGGACCACCAGTGCAGTATCGTAGCCCAGCCCATCCAACCACCTTTTCGTTTTTCACCGCACTTTAGCGCGTCTATTGGAGAGCCTTCGCGGCAAAGGTAGGCAGAACAAAGCTAGCCTTGTGGATCTCAGCATTGTAGTACTTGCACAGACGCTCCTCCTCCTCAGGAGACCAGGAGCGCAGGGGCTTCTTGACGTCGCGGCCCTCCTCCTTGCAGCACACCATGAAGCCGATCTGGCCTGACGGGTACGTCGGGATGGTGGTGTATGCGTACTCGGCTACGGGGAACACCTCGTTGCAGTCCTTCTTCAGCTTGGCGATGAGCGGTAGGTGGAGCCACTGGTTCTCAGCTGTGACACAGGGAAAGAATTAGCGAGATATGTTTGGTAAAAACTAGGGGGTGGATTCTAGAAAAGAAAAAAAAAGCAAAACGGGTGGGTAGGGGGAGGAAGTAAGAAATTAGACGCGGATCTTAGCGTAATAAAAGATCCGAGCTGGGAGATAAAGGGGGGGCTTGGGAGGAGGGAGGGGATAGGGGGGTAGGGAGAGACGAAGAGGCGAGAGAGATTTTGATGACACAGCTCAGCAGCAGCAGCAGCAGCAGCAGCAGCAGCAGAGCCCATCACGGTCGACCCTTCGTAGGAAGAAATTAGAGTTGTTTAAGAACAACCAGGCAACTTAAGTTCAGTGCCATTTGACCCGTCGCCACACTCTCGAACTTGTTTGCTTTGCCTGATATAAAGGAGACGTACAACCTTGGGTGGTGATGACGCCGCCGGGTCGGAGAGCACCGTGCAGCAGCTGGAAGTACGACTTC